TGGGTGCAAAATCCCAGATTATAGGGGAGAAGTCAGATCCCCAGGGGAGCAGTGGCCCTGGGCCAGCAGTGGCTGGCAATGTGCACTGCACTGACATCAGTCAGCAGGCAGGATATCCCAAGGCTGCTCTGGCCAACATCCCAGCTCTGGCACTGGAGAAGAGTTGGTCTTGGGGAGTAGAGCGTGGACACTGTGGGTGCAGGGGGCTTCCTCTGCACAGCATGAGCCTGGGGGGCCATCAAATTGCACAACTCCGGGGGACACCATTTACTTGATGGAGTTGTGCAAGGCAATGGCCCTGGCCCACAGGGAAGAGATCTGTGGCCGGAGAGCTGTGCACCAGGAGTTGAGGAAGGATGGAGCATCCTAGGTTAGCAGGAACCCCCTGCATCCTGGGAGAAAGAGTGGGTGGGAGGCTGGCTCAGCAGAAGCTTGGTCCTGAGGTGGGGAAGGCTGAGGGCTAGAAGGAAGGAGTGGTGAAGAATAGCGAGTTTTCTGGGAACTGTAGGATGGGGTGGGGTGGAAAGGTCCGCTGCACTGACACTCCTCTTGGGGCTGTCTCTGCCTCGCAAGCCTGAACCAGCCCCGAGGGTCCCTGAGTCCCTGGAGAGAGGACACAGGGAGGATTGGGGCTTCCTCCTGGCCAGCCCTGCAGCCCCTGTGCCCCCGGCACTAAGCCAGGCTGGCCTGTGCTGCAGAGCTGTGGGCTGTGGGGAGAATGAGTAATGAGCCTTGAGGGGCCTCAGGCCCAGACCATGCCCCCACCCATCCCAGAGGCACCGCAGAAGCCCAGCCTCTGCCCCCACCGCTGCTTACAGGCACGTGCCTGCACACAGCGCCCACTCCTTTCCCACACTCTCCCTCCACCTCTGGGCACACAGAGACCAGTGGAATTATGCCCCTCCTGGACTCTTATCCATTTTCACTACTGCTGCTCCCATCGCCCAACCAGGTAACATTCCTTTGGCTCTTAGGACCCAGACATCTGCCTCCCAGCCTCTGGAGGCCTCCTCACCATCCTTCACTCTATCTGTCCTCCGCCAACTTCCTGAATAAGGGAGACTCTGCCCCTAGGCTTTGTCAGCAGGAACCCCCTGCCACTCTCTGGAGGGTGGGTGGGATGTGAATAGGCAGAGGAACTTGGGGGTGGGGCAGGGGAAATAATCCCCTCCCTTTCCTGAGCTGAAGGGTGAGTGGACAGCAGCACAAATCCTATTCCATCTGCCAGCAGAAATCGATAGCTAATTAATTCCCTCCCCAAAATAGTGTCCAGAGGTAGGGGTTGGGACTGGGAGAGAGGCACAGCTAGACTGAGACTGAGATCCTGGGGGGGAGAGGGAGGGAGGGAGGGAGGATGCCTCTCTTCTGGCCACCAGGGCTGTGCCTCTGTTGGGGGTCTCTGGCTGCACCTTCTGAAGAGGGGGATTTTGGCCTTTCCCTCCCCCAATTCTGAGAGTCCCCCTCCCCTGCCCTGGGCTGGGGTGGGGGTGCATGTGTGTGGGGGTAAGGGCGTCAATCAGGCTGGGAGCAGGTGTTGCATTTAATTTGATTGGCTAATTAGCCTGTGCATGTTAATTATCTCTATTACCCAATGAGAAGAGGCAATGGCAAAGCTATATATATCCTCCAGTGTTTGGAGGGAGAGGAGACTGCCTGCCTGGATTGCTTCCCTCCCTGCCTCAGAAGGGGCAGCCCTTGGAGTGGTGCTGGGGCAGGACACTTGAGTCCCTCTTGGATCCTATAGAATTGAGGGAGCAGACAGCAGTCAGAAGGAGCCAGATAGGAGGACCTGAGAAATGCATTTTGAGGGTCTCTTGGAGATGGCTCCCCAAACTCTACCACTGGCCTCCTGAGGTCTTCTCTGCCCCATATTCTTTCTGCATAACTATCATTCCAACCATTCCTTCCCTCCCATGAGCAGAGGCTCAACCCCTCACTATGGCTTTTTAGGGGACCCCTAGCCTTCTCCCTCTTTCTTCATACCCCAGCTTCCTCCCATGTAGGGAAGAACCACAGCCATCCAACCTTCTCTCACTCCAAGTTACCTTTCTCATCTTCCTGTGGTTCACACCTCTCTGAACTACACCTGTGGCTGCCCTGCTCTTTGTCTCCTTCCTGGAGATGCTGGAGTCAGATACTCGTGGGTCTAAGTCCCAGTTCCCCACCGCCTGGCTGTGTGACCTTAGGCAAGTTCTTCCACGTCTCTGCAGGGATTCCCCATTGGTTAATGGGAATAGTTTCAGAGTGAGTAAGTAAAATAACATTTGTAAAAATGCTCAGCATCCAGGGCTTTAACAAGTGGTGTTTGAATTTGGAATTTAATTTTCTCTATCTTCTCTTTTCTTTTCTCTCCATCAGGCCACCTTTCTCCTCCACGACTCTTCTGTCTCTGTCACTTTTCAGGTGATTTCTCTTCTTCCTCTTCCCCGTCAGATTCAGTCTTTTCCTATCTCTTCCTAAACTCCAGCCCTTCCCTGCTTCTCTCCCAGGCTTCTCCCCACCTCCTTCTCTTCCTCCCTCCCCAAAATAAAATCAATGTAATATTCAGGAGGGTTGTTGGATATAAATAATTACGACTCGGAGTTTAACGAGATGCAAATTCCCCTCCCTGGCGTGGGGTATAAATTGCTCTCTGACAGCCCGTTACAAGGGTAATCATTTCAGAAAGGCAATTTTATGCAAATGATCCTGCCTGCCTCCTGGTGGCTCCCCCAGCCCTGGATGGGGAGGAGGGTGGAACTGAAGGGTGAAGAGAACCCAGGTACCAGCCCAGGTCCAAGGCAGAAGACTGGGAACTGGAGGTTGAGAGTGACAATCATTTAGGTTCAGGAAGGATCTGGACTGGTGTGCAGGGGGTTGGGGCCCAGGAAGGGATGAGTGTGGTTTGGGGAGAATTGGAGACAGGAATCAGATGCTTGTGTCCCTGCATAGATGGACTTGGGGCCTGGATGCTTGGGTCCTGGCTGACTTCTTTCCCTTGCCCCCTTCCCAGCCAGGTTAACCAGTGATACCATTGACAAATTGGCGTTTAATTAATCCCAATGAATTATGTAGCAACTTCATTATCCAGCATTATCCAGGAACTGATGAGAGAGAGCCGTGGCTGGTGGTGGGAGCCAGTCGCAGAGGTTGGGTGGCTCAGAGATGAAGGGGCTGTGGTCACCAGCTGGAGGAGAGTCTCTAGGCTTCACCCATAGGAGCTGGCCCTGGTCCTGATGGGAGGCAAGAGTTAGGGCATTTGGTTGGGCTGCTACTGGATTCTAAGGTGTTACCTCCCCACCTACCCACATCTCAAACCAATAATGCCCCCAAGCGAGTGCCATCTCCTCCCCTCCAAGTGTTGGGCCGCCAGTTCTCTCGTCATGGTGGTGTCTCTCGCTTTGAGACCCTCTCCAGGTCTGGCGGCTCCTCGAGTCCTAAACTAATTGAGCGCTTGGTGGTGGGAGGGGGGAGTTCGACACTGACGGCTCCCCTCCCCTAAGCCCCTCATTAACCCTTTCCTCTCTGTTTCCCCGCAGGCATCCCTCACCCATACTCCGTCGGAGCGGGGGAGGGGCGCCTCCCTCGCCG